GGAAATGGCACTTCAGTTATCAGCCAGCCCAATCCAACTCCTGCTGCATCATCAGGCTGTAGTAGTTCCCTTACCCTAGGAAAAAAATCTCTTAGCCTTCTCCTCTGCATGTTTAAATTAGGTCAGAGCCTAATATAATTGAATCTGCTAAGGTTTTTAACAACATCTTTAAACCTTCCCATCTCTATTATTTTATTTACTCTTCAAAAATACTGGAATTGCATTAGACAATTATTTATCTGAATGGAAGCATAAATCATTAAATGGGCAGATAAGCCTATGCAGCATTACAATTTATTTACCCACAAAATAGAGGGCCTGGTTCTGGCACACTGTCCATTTGTCGGACAGCCATGTGGCTGAGCCATGGTCCAAATGAGTTTAATAAATCTCTTTCTCAACTCACAAAAGACCATGTCCTCACTTCCATAATTCCATTAGCGTCTGCTCCTTTAGAGGAGATAAAAGAAGAGATAACCTGTCTGTTCAGAACATAAAATAGCAATTGTTCAGCTGATGATTGGAATGTTTCCAGTAGAAGAACTTAATTATGGAACAAAATTAGCCCAATCTGACCTTTTTAGAGAGTAATACAAAAATAAGGGTTTTTTTTTCTTTTTTTGAAATGTCTTCCTGAAATCACTAAAATATTGAATCATTTACTTCACTTTTTTTTTTTTTTTTTTTTTTTTTTTTTAACAAGAGTCAGAGATGATGGCATCTGGTAGTGTTCCCGCAGAGATGACAATCCTAGGATGTTAATAAAACACCATTTGCAGGGAGGGATAATGTATTTTAATAAATTAGCCAATGCAGTTGAACAAACAAGCTTTCAGACACACATGCATGCACAAGCCATTTCCACCACAGGCAGTTTGCCTCTTTGACTCAAAATTGTTAGCTTAATATCTGCACAGCATAGTGATCGTGTCCTAGAAATGACACAGATGGAGGAATAGATTTGATATTGGTTTTTATGGTGTCTATATTAACTACATTCTGAAATCTCCTCTAAGGATAAAAGGTATTGGTAGAACCTCTGTTTTGTCCAAGTGCTAAATAGGAGTAAGCACTTGCTCCACAGACCTGCAGAATGAGTATGATGCTGTGTTTTAATGTATCTCTGTGTGGATGTAACTGCAACGTGGCACTCCTTGCTAGGGAAAAAAGAAAGAAAGAAAAAGGGAGAAAATAAGAAAGAAAAACTTCATCTGCTTTATAAGTCCTATCTCCAATTTCGTGGCATTTTGAATGCTTTTAGACCATGCTGATACTATTGCATATAAGAAAAAATGCATGAACAGGTGGTGATATTAACAGGCTTCTTATGGTTCTGAAAATTGAGATAGAAATGTTTCAAGTCATGAAAGTCAACATCAATAATCATCCATCTTGTGTAGATATGGAAGTCAGCCAATGTGGTTCTTGCTGAGGAGGCATGAAATATTTCTTTTGCATCAGAGCTATTGCTCTGGACACAAGTCATAATTTCTCTAATATAGATGAATGAAGTAAATATTACTAATACTTCCTTCCTTCCTTCCTTCCTTCCTTCCTTCCTTCCTTCCTTTCTTTCTTTTTCTTTCTTTTTCTTTTTTTTTTTTTTTTAATAAACTGAAAGCTCCCCCTTCTGGCACATTTCCTGAATTGAATGCAAGTTTCTACTTTTGTCAGCAAGAGAAATTTCCTCCTTAGCTTTCTTTTTCAGATCCTTTCCACAAAGAATTCTTTAAAACAAGTGTATGTATGATTTCCCAAGGATTTCCCATTTTCCCATCAAGCTTCAGGGTTTGCTGTGAACTCACTTAACGTCAGGGGATAGCTTAAGTCTTCACCTGTAATTTTCAGCTGTCATTTTTCCAGGCAAAGATTTACTTGCTGCCTGCTTTGCTGCATATTATGCAGAATACAGAAAATAACTTGTTCAGCACTGTTGAGTGTTTTCATTTGTTTTCGTTCAAGACTTTCACTGCCATCTATTTTCAAAATGCTAGGAGTCACTGAAAATTCTGCACCTTTTTTTCATACCAACATGCAGCCCTGCTCAGAGCAGACCCTTTCTGAGCCCCACGAATCTTCAAGCCAGAATAGGGGGAAAAAATCAACAAGAGAGCTGTTTAGAGCACAATTTTGGTAATCACTCCTGTCCCATTGGTGCTTTTATTTCAATTTTTGGGGTTTTTTTTTGTAATCCTCTAAGTCAGCACAATCACTTCTGTGCTTCTTGATGAATTGATATGTTACTGATTTTCCTCAGTCATGTGTTTATATAAGGAATGGAGAAGGCTCTCCCAGCATCTGCAGCCACAGGACCCAGTAGTTCCCATAGATTCACACCATTTTATTACAGTCACTGGTGCCATCCCTCAGCTCCAAGCAGGCTGACACAGCAGTGAGACTAGTTAGGAAGCTTTCAGTGGATTTGCTGTCATAGGTGCGATGATTTCGTCTCTCTGCATCTTGAAGAACTGTTTGTGTGGAGACAGGAATGAGTGCCTGTGTGCATATTGGGGCTGGTCCTTTGCACAGGCATGCTTACCAGCCTCTTCGGTTGCATGTAAGGAAATAAACGTAGGAGAGTAAAAAAAAGAGAGTAAAATAGCACAATATTAATCTCAATTGAGTACTGGGTTGTAATAGTAAAATGAGAATGAATTAATTATGAGTTCATTTCTGGGTTTTCCCTGAATAAGGTGGTGATGTTTTCTTCTATGACAGTGATGCTACTTTCCTTTCTCATGCAGTTAAATAATAAGTAAGTGTGGTGGGTTTTAGTCATAAAATAGTAGTTATTTTAGAGTCCAGTATCCAAACAGCTATTTACAACAGCTACAGTGAATGAAATATGCCCATTAGATCTGTGCATTAGATTTGAAAGTGGGAGAATTGCTGGTCTGGCACCTTATGCCACTTTCCTGTTTCCTCTCCATGGTAACAAAGATCAGGACTGACCTACACAAACAAAACTGTTCACCCCAAATGTGCCATAGCTCCACAACTGAGGCAGTGATGCCAATTAGCCATCAGTGCAGTTTACAGCAAAGGTCTCTTACAAATTGCATGTTCCTAATACATGTGGATATTGATTGTCCCCCTCTATTCTTCTCTTGTTGAGGCCCCATCTGAAATACTGTGTCCAAATGTGGAGCCCCCAGTACAGAAAAGACAGAGAGCTGTCGGAGAGGGTCCAGAGGAGGGCCATGATGATGATCAGGGGACTGGAGCACCTCCCCTTTGAAGACAGACTGAGGGAGCTGGGCTTGTTCAGCCTGGAGCAAAGAAGGCTGTGGGGTGACCTCATTGCAGCCTTTCAGTACCTAAAGGGAGCCTACAAACAGGAGGGGAATCAACTCTTTGAAAGGGTTGACAGCTGCAGGACAAAGGGAAATGTTTTTAGGTTGAGGGAGGAGAGATTTAGGTTGGATGTCAGGGGGAAATTCTTTACTATGAGAGTGGTGAGGTGCTGGAACAGCTGCCCAGAGAGGCTGTGGATGCCCCGTCCCTGGAGGTGTTCAAGGCCAGGTTGGATGGGGTCCTGGGCAGTCTGGTCTGGTATTAAATGTGGAGGTTGGTGGCCCTGCATGTGGAGAGGGGTTGGAGATTCATCATCCTTGAGGTCCCTTCCAACCCTGGCCATTCTGTAGTTCTGTGATAGGTATGCATATGCACCTAGCTGTACTCCTATATTATGTATGTGTTTCCAGTTCTCCATTTCTTTGTAGAAATGTCTCAAAAGATGTTGTTCTTGTCATAATGAAGCAATGACAGTCCTCTGAGAACCATGCTGTGGTTTTGTTTAAGAAAAAACTGTGAACTTTTGAGTAGGCTGTCTATTCTAAAGAGAGTTAAATCAGTATAACTTTAACTACAGTAGAAGACTCACTAATACATAACTAATGTGGAAATAATTGCTCTAATGCTTGCATTTCTCTACAAAGCATGTACTGAAAAACAGTACATTGTTGATTCAGTGATAGTTAAATCAGTTTCATATGCAAATGGAGGCACTGGACTACATCTGGATGCTGGTATTATTTGAATATCTTGTCTTTTAAGCTTAAGAAAATTGGAAATATCAACTAACAGTATCCAAGAGCAAAACAATATATTCTATCAACAGTGATTCTCTCCAAAGTCTTTATTGTCCACCATTTATTCGGTAGTCTCTAATGACAGAAGTATTGGCAATAGTAAATGCCAGGGCACTGCTGGGAGTAAAGTGTAAAACAGTCGTTCCTGCATCTGATGTGCTGCATTGTTTTTCTTCCAGTAGGAATAAAAGGAAGCAATTCCTGTGCTCTCCTGATTGCCCCTGAGCTCTTATCTTCTTGATGTTAAGGGAACACAGAAACGGCTTAAATTGTCTTTATCCTTTTAATGTAGATTCAATTAATTGAGGTTAATGACTACGTGCTGGAACTTGGGGACTTGAGTTCATTTTTCAATGCAGTCTGTCCTGTGACACCAGCTGTATTTTTAGGGGGAGAAAAGAATATGGGAGAAATAAAAAGAAAAAGAAAATAAAGATCGTATTGTTGTGATTTAACTGAACATGATATACAAAGAAGTGGAGTTGTTGTCTTTCTAGCAGGAACAAAGCTGTTAGATGCATCTGCAGAAGTGCAATACACAGTTGACCAACCAGTTAAAAATGCTTTCATCACATCTGTTTTCTAAACCTTTACTCTTTAACTTAGTGTAATCAGCACAGAGTCCTTGGGAGCAGTAAATTGTGACCTGTTAGTACTTTGATGAATACTCAGCCTGTGATGTTTCTTCATTTTCCCTACATTAATATATCATGGCCAAAAGAGTGAACACGAAAGGAATTATTCCAGGAGGAGTGCAAAATTGCAAATTGCTGTCTAGTGAATATGGAAAATGATGCAATTGCACAATGCTTAATTTCGTATACCTTTAAAGTGTTACCTAGAAGACTCAAAAAGATTAGTCAGAAGAGTACTTCTCTAACCCTTTCTTTTTTTCATTTCCATTCACAGGATTTTTGAGCACTGGGGACCAAGCAGCAAAAGGAAACTATGGCCTCCTTGATCTAATTCAAGCTTTGCGATGGACTAGTGAAAATATTGGGTTCTTTGGTGGTGACCCGTTAAGAATAACTGTTTTTGGATCTGGTGCAGGCGGTTCATGCGTCAATCTGTTGACTTTATCCCATTATTCTGAAGGTAACCGTTGGAGCAATTCAACCAAAGGTATTATGCAGGTTGCAAATTTTGACAATTTTGGTGTCTGCATGCCACCACCATTAGTACTATGTGATGCTCTGTATATTCCCTTTGTTCTAGGAACAGTTGAGTTCAGCTCAGTATTAAGCAAACTTTCTAAAGGCTGTACTTAAACGCCTTCTCCCTCAGCTCTTCTGTGCATGTTTAAATTTTGGGTCACTTTCTTCTTTTTCCTATGGAGCTTTGTTGAAATGCTTTATAGCAGACTTCTGAACAGCATATGCTCAGTGTATCAGTTTTGTCTCTCTTCTTTCCTACCTAAGGGTGTCCTTTTTGGAAAGCCAGTCAGTCATGCTCACAGTAGGTGAGGTCATCTATATTTAGACAATCATGAAAGGCAAGTTTAGTTTCTCATGAGGAGCAGAATTTAAGGAAAACTAAAAAGACACAGTTTCTCTTTTCAGGCTAACAACTAAAATACTTAAAACTATTATTTTGTGTGAAGGAGAAGAGTACCTAGTTCAGAAATCTTTGGTCTGAAACTGCATAAGCTTCTACTTGCTGTCTTCTAATTAAAAAAAAAAATGGTTGAATGTCTTGCATGCATGATCCAAAATTGTCAAAGCATCCAAGTTGCAAATGGATTTTCTTCTATATCCTTTCCTATTCCATAACTAACACCTTTTCTCTTTACTTGAGGCAGACAGCAGGAAATTAAAAACATGCTGTTTGAGGGGCCCCAGTTTTTTATTCCATAAGCTTAGTAATGAAGTTCCACGTGTTTTTTCTCATTTGCATGGCTATTGCTTATTGATCACATTACTTCTGTCTCGCTCTTTTCACAAATAAATCTGTATTGTTTATTTTTACAAAGGAAATCACACTGTCACTGGGCACACAATCCCACACTGGTTTATATTGTCGTATCTTCATGGAAGACTAATTGGCCAGTCATAAAACAATAATTCCACTCAGATTAAAATAGCTGTATTTACCCAGCACTGTGATACAGAACCCACTGAGGTCAATGAAAGTGACAGATTCTTTAGATCAGGCCTTTAAACTATTTTAAAAGAGAGAAAGAAACGGATTCTTTTTACAAGAAGCATTATCCTGTAATCTGAAACCCTGCTTCATCTCTTTTTTTTTTTTTTTCACCAGAACTCACAAGAAATAACTTCTGGTGTGGAGGATTTGGTTGAATGTTTCTCTTCTTTCCTCTTACTTGATTTTAATCATAGAATCATAGAATATCCCAAGTTGGAAGGGACCCAAAAGGATGGTGGAGTCCAACACCTGGATCCACACAGGACTACACAAAACCAGACCATAATACTAATCTAATTGATGCAATGTAGCATTCATGTGATATGCCACTATTTAAAATGTCTGGGCAGTCATGTCTTGCCTCCTATCAGGAAATTTTACTCTGTTGTATTCAACACACATCCAGAATTCTGCCAGGAGCAGAATTTCTCGGAGGATTCTGGTGCCATTATTTTCCGACATAGGAGTTCAAAGGATCTGGAAGGAGGGTTTAAGGATATGTATGTAAAATGGAGTTGTAAATGTCAGGGTTTCTTTTATAACAAAAGCAAAAAAAAAAAAACAAAAAACAAAAAACAAAAAAACTTTATTGAATTTTGGATTAAACAGTACATGCCACCCACATGTACTCATTTTATTTCATTTGGAGATTTTCAGACTTCCCACTAGAGAATTATTAAAATAATTTGGTCAGCTTCAAATAAGAAAAGCTGTTTAAAATTTTTAAATATTTTGCAATATTCTAATATTATCCAAACAAATTTTATTGCAAATTGTTAACCAGTCTCTTTCATAAGATGCAAATTCAGTTGCTCTCTTTGCTCCATTTTCCTTTGGAAGGATCACTTGGTAGCGGAGAGGACGCATACAGCCCCTTTTAGGATGGTGCTGTTCTGTGCTGCCCATCTGCAAGTGGGCAGAACAGCACTCATCTTTAGAAAGCGCTCTGAAAATGTAGATGAATAAATGCAAATTGCAAATTATTATTATTTATTTGGTGAGCTTTTGAACAGAAGTCACAAAGCGATATGGTCTGCTGAGCATTTAAATCTTCTTGCCATCAGTTTGGAGCCCGTAAGCTATAATAATCATACACATTATCAGATAAAAATATATTTCTCCTTCCTGTGAGATACTGATCTGACAGAATGAAAATCATTTTTCACAGCATTATTCATTTTTTACCAAGTAGATTGAGACGAGGAGTTTTTCCTTAAGAATTTTTCACCAGAAGGGAGGATGTTTAGTTTCAGTTCCCAGGAGAACTTTACGGCCAGAGGACTTGACCACTTCTACTTAATCCAGTGCTCAATGTTTATATTCACTTAGTGAGCCCTCATGTTTAAGGCAGCATTTTTTAATACGTAGCCTACTCTTTCTGTCCTTCTTCAGAGATATTTAATAAAGCAGTAAAAAGAGATTTATGCAATATGCAAAAAGAAAGATTATGAAGTATCATGAAATACATGTTTGTGAAAATTCAGTTTTGTCTTTTTGTTACATTTAATATAATGCCTGGATCCTCTGTGGTAATTCCTCTGACTTTGCACTGATTTGTACTAGCTCAATATCTGACCTTGTAAGCATGCAAATATATTTTTACTTGCTTTATAGCTCCAGCTCTTTCTTATTTTTTACTCTTTTCTTGCAAGGAAATAACATCTTGGATATGACTTCTCGTAAATTTAAGGAAAAGCTTGAGTTTACATATTTCAATCCCTACACCTATCTGATTTTAAGACTTGGATTTCACTTTAATACAGTCTAAAATGATTTGAAAATTCCTCGTAAGCTTGTAAAATATTTCCTGATAGCAATTAATCCTTATTGACTTCTGAATGTGCAGAATCTGGTACTGAAATACAGTTTGTCAAGACGCATCTCTGACTTAAGTAAGAGAATACAGAAGTATTTATTTTTTTTAATCAATAGAAATATGTTACCTATCAAGATATATGACGTGTTTTGCATTATTGAAATCAAGTTCTGAAGTAAGCTGAGTACCTTAGCACTAGTTTCTTTTGTGGAAGTACCCAGCTCTTCTTCAAACATGGGCCAGAATATAAATCCTGAGCAAAATTAAGTGAGGCCAGATGTCATTTCCTGTCAGTTCCTGACCAAAGTCAGTGGAATTACTCTGGGTACCTACAAACGTAAGTGAAACCTAATGTGACATATATGTCTTATATCAGTACGACTTACATTTGCAATGGACCATTTTGTATTACTTGTAGTGAGCTTTAAAAAGGTAGAATCCAGTGTAAAATACCTTCTGGTAGTAAGCGCTAAAGACTTAATGAGATGAACTGGATGCACGTCCATGAAAATGAAGAACACACACACAAAAAACAACAGAAAGGCCACAAGCACCTACGTATAATCTAAGTTTCTGTTGTACTAACATTAGAAATGAGAATTATAAGAGATCAATTTTTCTGTCTTTTGTTATACTCAAAATTTCTTTCAGAAATGGAACTTTTCTTTCCAGAGGGAGTGAGAAAAAGCCCAAAATGAAAGGAATACATGAGATAGAGGAATAAGGTTGGAGTCTTCACCATGTTAAAGTCATTAGCAAAAAAATTAATTGATTTATTGACTACAAGAGGGGTGAGACTTCATAACACACTCAAAAATGCTTATGGAGAGGAGAGGAAAAGGTCAATTTAAAAACATTTTTTATTTCTATGAGTAGAATTCCTGATCCAGAATGCTAGTTAAATCTGCAGAAATTCAAATTAGTTGCACTGAAGTCCTTGGGATTTGCTACAAGTTTATATACAGATCTGGTTCATGCTCTCTTCCCTAAATGAATACCTGAACATATGCTCATATCTCTGAATTACAAAGCTAAATAGTGTAAAATATACATTTTTCATGTTTCACGTGTGATCACTATAAACATTCATTAAAAAAACACTTTACAAGAAAGGATCTTGACTCTCAGACACATGTAAATTTAATAGCTGCCTAGTTCCTTCTCATCCATTGCTCCAAAACATTAACTTTTGCTATAATATGCACTTCAATACACTGTACCTCTCAAACCAGGTTTAATCCCAAGGAGAAAGTAAAATAGCAGTATATTAGTTTTATTTAATACGTGATCATATACATGCATGCTGATGATAGCTTGAAGAGAATTCCTGGCTTTTTCCCTAGCCTATAATGTGCTTTAAAGGCAGGAGTTTCTTTCATGCTAATAGCATCACTGGACACAAGGTAATGCTACTTCTTTTTCTTTCTGAGTTCCTTTTGAAATTCTGATCTTCAGCTGGACTACACAAAGGTAGAATCATTTGCTTCAGTTTCTGCACATATTGAGTTGATTTTGTAGACATTACCTGTAGACTCAACGGCAGTCAGATCTCATCATCTTGTGTATTTATCTATTACTAGGATTGTTTTTAAGTATTTTTTCTGTTACACTTTACTATTGTTTCAAAGAACTTCTCTGAATCTTTCAAGTATATAGCTGTTCCAAGGTCACTTCAGTAGTTTTAAACTATTTCTCCCCACAGGACTTTTTCAAAGAGCAATAGCTCAAAGTGGAACAGCACTGTCCAGCTGGGCGGTTAGTTTTCAGCCTGCAAAATATGCCAGGATGCTGGCTACAAAAGTTGGTTGCAACATGTCGGACACTGTAGAACTGGTAGAATGTCTACAGAAGAAGCCTTATAGAGAACTCGTTGACCAGGACATTCAACCAGCTAGATACCATATAGCCTTTGGACCAGTAATTGATGGCGATGTGATACCCGATGATCCTCAGATATTGATGGAACAAGGAGAATTCCTCAATTACGACATCATGCTGGGAGTTAATCAAGGCGAAGGGTTAAAATTTGTTGAAAACATTGTGGATAGTGAAGATGGCATCTCAGCTAGCGATTTTGACTTTGCAGTTTCTAATTTTGTCGATAACTTGTACGGATACCCTGAAGGCAAAGATATATTGAGGGAAACTATTAAATTTATGTACACCGACTGGGCAGATCGACACAATCCTGAGACCAGAAGGAAAACACTGCTGGCTTTGTTTACTGATCACCAATGGGTTGCACCAGCAGTGGCCACAGCAGATCTTCACTCGAATTTTGGATCGCCTACATACTTCTATGCCTTTTACCATCATTGCCAGACAGATCAGGTACCTGCGTGGGCAGATGCAGCCCATGGAGATGAGGTTCCTTACGTACTGGGAATCCCCATGATTGGTCCTACTGAATTATTTCCTTGTAATTTCTCCAAAAATGATGTCATGCTAAGTGCAGTAGTGATGACATACTGGACAAACTTCGCAAAAACTGGGTGAGTACCAGATAATGAATAATTTTATATACAAACACTGCATATAAGTAAGCAGCACTTTCTCTTGAATATCTCCCTTGGAAATATTCACAGATGAGTAAGAAATTATGAATTGGGTTGCATAGCTGTGTAATGTCATTGAGTTCACTTACACGTTCTGGCAAAAGGAGGGAAAAATATTTTTGTGAGTAATCTGATGAAGATATTTTAAACACCACATACGCAAAAATCATTTAAGGGCTCCCTAGAAAAGTAATAAATTGAGTGTTTAACATATGCAGGTAGTTAAAAATGTTTTACATTAATGCATCTAACAACTTGAGAGGTTTTGACATTTTCACAAATCCTGCTTTTAGTTGTATCTCAAAATGCTACTCCACCTTTGGCCATTGGAGTCTAAGTCAGTATGTGTTACACTGAGTTACGCCCTGCTGTGGTCTTTTCACCTTTAGAAGACCACAGATACTGTGTGTGAACTGAAACACTGTGCTTCAGGTTACTAAAATGAAAATAGAAAAAGCTTAATAGCCTCTCACACTGGTTTCTTGTAGGCATTTGCCCACATCACAACACTGCTGGCAGTTTTTCCTCAGCAGTAAAAGATTTGTGTGAGTGATACTATCATTTTGTAGAAATAGAGAAGTGATGAATTCTATGTAACAAAAGATTATATGTGGTTCATTTGCATAATACTGTATCTAACTGAGATTAGTAAAACCTCTCCTTTTAAGAAATAATATGCTGCTCTGTCCAAAGGCAGACTTGAATGTTAAGTATAAAATACTAATTTTATGTTTCCTTTTGAAATACTGTATAAAATTTGAGATTTTCTTTTTTAGTGACCCAAATCAGCCCGTGCCACAAGATACAAAATTCATCCATACAAAACCAAATCGTTTTGAAGAAGTAGCATGGACCAGATATTCTCAGAAAGACCAACTGTATCTTCACATTGGATTAAAACCACGAGTTAAAGAACATTATAGGGCCAATAAAGTGAACCTTTGGTTGGAACTGGTACCTCATCTGCACAATCTTAACGACATTTCACAGTATACCTCTACCACAACTAAAGTGCCATCAACAGATAATACTTTCAGACCAACAAGGAAAAATTCAGTTTCTGTTACTTCAGCCTTTCCTACAGCCAAACAAGATGATCCCAAACAGCAACCAAGCCCATTTTCAGTGGATCAAAGAGATTATTCAACAGAATTGAGCGTTACTATTGCAGTTGGTGCATCTTTACTCTTCCTGAACATTTTGGCCTTTGCAGCACTGTACTACAAAAAGGACAAGCGGAGACATGATGTTCATAGGAGATGTAGCCCACAACGTACTACTACCAATGATCTCACCCATGCACAAGAAGAGGAGATAATGTCCCTCCAAATGAAGCACACTGACTTGGATCATGAATGTGAGTCCATCCATCCACATGAGGTGGTTCTCAGGACCGCCTGTCCCCCAGACTACACGCTAGCTATGAGAAGGTCTCCTGATGATATTCCCTTAATGACGCCCAACACCATCACAATGATTCCCAACACTATACCAGGGATTCAGCCCTTACACACATTCAATACATTTACCGGAGGACAGAACAATACTCTGCCCCATCCTCATCCCCACCCCCATTCACACTCAACAACCAGGGTATAGCCAGACAAGATGAAACAAACTTTATTTTTTGATGGATTACAGTAGGTGGTATTACTGAAGATTACTTGGCTTTCAACCTACAAGACTCTTACTATTTAAATATGGAGGAATATTATGTGAATATACATATCAAGAACTTTTGGGGTTTTGAAAAAAAAAATGAATTGTACATATATCAAATGAACTTAAGAAACAAAAACAAACAAAAAACCACCCAACTGTTGGCAGTTGCTTGAAACAGTTGTCCTGAATGATACTTTTTCATTCACATTCAAGTATTAATTTTCTGAAGATTTAAGTTACATAATGGAATTAGGCATGTGCAACACAAACAGGAAAGAACAAAGACTGAAAATTTTAAAAACCTATAAATATGCACAAGGGACACACTAATGGAATGTCAGATAACTTTCACCAATTTTTATTTGGACCTGTTTTATTGTGTAGACCATATTTACATATTTGAATAAGTACACAAAGCACCAATGCTGTTAAGGCCTTAGGAAGGGGCTCATGCTGAGATCTGCCAGTCAGACAAAGAAGTTTTACAGCCTGGCAGGTACAAGATTATCACTTAAGTGCTGTCAGTGTAAAAGTTGTGGGAATAAAAGAAACTGGTTATTTTTAGCACGATGTGCATGATAATTTATATGCTTGGTGGCTGTGCTGCTGATTAAGCCGTAATTAAAATTCTTCTCATCCCATTGGAGTTTTAATAGAAGCGTTCTCCATCAATTGGCACAACCTAAGGAAGTTTTTTAAAGGGGCAAAAGTAATTACAGTGAAATATTTCATAGTAATTTCAGTAAAAGAAGGAATTGCAACAGTTCTAAGAGGTATTTTTGGAATTCTAGGTATGCGGTGGTGAAAACTCACTGATTTGAATCCCAGAAAAAAATCTATTTTATTAATGTTGTCTTCCCTTTTCACCTAAATAGTGTCTAACATTAACATAATTGTAACTCTAATGGAAACTCCTGTGGTAAAGGATTTATAATTTTCTGTGACTTAATTACAATATATTTAGTTCAAATTGGTGAGGTAAAGTGTGTCCAAAGATTGAATTGCAATGATGTTTTGCGGTATAAAAACGCCCCAATATCACCACTCTGATTACATCTCTCAGTTTATGGTTTGAACTCATGTTGCATGTTACAGAGTTTACTTACGATACTTTAATATAAAGTTAATTCCCTTTTTGCTATACATTAGCCATTTAAATGAATTCTGTAGATCAGAAGAAGGGGGTATGTAAGGACGGGGAGAGCGCCAAAACCTGGAAATTTTAACATCTGAACAGTACATATGTTTGTGTGATTCAAAATGAGTGTTCTAAAATGAAAAGAAATTTTTCATTCCCTGTTGCTTTCCAGTAATTATATACCACAGTCCTTTCAAAATGTTTGTATATGTAATCAGATGTACATTTATATAAAAGAAATAATTGAGATGGACTTAAGAGCACATCCCTGATAAATACTTTCTCTCTTACCTGTACTATATTTCTATTAGACTAAAGTTATGTGATTTTTTTTTACATTTTTTCAAATTACTAGCAATTTTGATAGTTTGTAAGATAATGCAAAGAACTTTCTCTGACAAACTAACTGCAGTAACAGAAACATTTCTTTTCAGTTACTCTTTTTCAAGAATGAAAGCTTATTACACAAAAAAAATAATAAATTGTATACTACTTGATGGAAAATTACTTTGTACTTCTTGGCCATATTACTGGTCACTGAGTGAAATAAAGATAATCTGGATAACGAATATTATTCCAATGCTAAGAGACCTGATCTTTGCTCATTAAAGAGCTAAAATGTTTATTGCTGTTTTGTCATTTTTTAATGAAGTAATGGTAACTGTCTCGAATAAAGAGTAATATCTTAAGACCAGTCTGGTTTTTGAAGACATGAACATGCCTTCTGCAATTAATAGAACTGCATACTTTTAGGCCAGTCCCAGCTACTATCATATCTTCCAAAAGTACCGACTTTATGTTACAGTGTTACACAGAAATCTCTCCTGTCATTTTCAGAAAAAAAAGTTCAAAATATAAATACAAAAATGAAGACCAAAAAAGAAAGCCAGTGAACAGGCCTAATGGTAATAAATTTGCAGAAGTCCACAACAGAAAAAAATCACCTTGGTTTTATTCGGATGCGTTAACGTTTATGGAACAGCCGCTAGGAAGTTCAAAGCACGTTTGCTAACATCAAGCACAGACATTAAAACTGAAGCTGTAATCAAAACAAAATGCTGTGATTTCAGTCATTTTATTTAGCTTAAAAAGCCCACAATTGAAATCCATGCATTCAATGAGTGCATCTCTCAGTCCTCAGTGTTAAAAATTAAGATCTTTTGGTAGAAGCAAAAACAATATTGTCTTCAAAATCCAGGGCGGTCTGTGTGCAATTTCTGCCTGATGTGGTTGTGCTTTTGGACTGTGACCTGCCAATGTAAACCAATAAAAAAATTGTCTGCCATCTGATAATTATTGTTTGATAGGAAGATTGTATTTTGCTATGTTGATGAACAAAACAACAACAACAAAAAAACACAAAAAATATTGATGGCCATAAAACAAGATATTAATGAAATATGATTTTATGTGCTTTTCTTAACTTTATCAAAACCAAAATAACTTTCTACTATAGTTTATTTGTGGCCATATATATATATATATATCTATATATACAGTATCTGGTAATTGTTTACTTTTATTAGTTACAAAATAAATGATTTAGGTAAACCAAGCATGACACTACACTTTATTTTTGTCAGCCAACAGTATTGAAAATGTGAAAGATGAAGGCAACGATACACATTTTGTAAGTCCTGCTTGAAAATAAGTTCACATAGGATGCAGATACTGTGAATGATATTTTAATGGCTACTTCACATCACAGCAGCTGGTCTTCCAAAAGGGAGGTGGTTTCCCACATCTTAAGATGACATTAAGAAAAACCAAGAGATGTTTTAAGAGCTGAAGCATAATAAAAATAGAGGGAACGGTTTGGGAATATCGTCGTTACGCTTCATGGAATATAAGTTTGTTCTTTTTAAAATATTCATCTGTTTGATTTGTTTCCACCATAACCTCCAAGAAAACAAAATCAAGTGTGATATTTAATTTCTTGTATCATCCTTGGACCACGTTTCCAATAAAATGAAGATATTAGTCAATCTTTGGAAATTCAGTAAAAATATAAAAAGCCTGCATTTACTGCTTTCACACTTTTTGTAAATATGTTTGCAGACCTTTGGAAGGAAATGTATTCTACCACTTTGAGAAAAAAATAACAATGGAATCATTGTCTCATTTACCTATTAAAATTACAGGCGATATAATGTGCTGTGCTACATTTCTAGGAGAAATAAAGCAGATAAAAATGCACTTTGCTCAATGGTATCTTAGTTGGTTCTATGTGGTATTCTGCACCCACAGAAGAGCCGTAGGGCATGGGTGAACTACCTGAATGTAATGTTCCCTAGGAAGAGGTACTTCTTTCTGTTATCTGCACTAAGTATGGTCTCCTATGTTACAGAACTGCAATTACCAGATGTTTTGGTTATTGAAACGTGCCGAAAACTGGAAAAATAGAGGTCTAACTTGTAAACATGTTGCAGCCTTAGAGACACCACTGCACAGAAATACTGGGATTTCTGTTGCCATCTTCACTAAGAGCTGATAACTGAATTCCTAAGAAGCTGCCAAACATCATGGCATTCCTTTGATGTTTGGAAGTTGTTTTGTTGGTTTAAAATATTGGCCTTTGATCCCCCTTTTTTTCCTACTAGTGGATTGTTGCCAACGATCACTCTTTAGTAAAAGCAAACATTAGATAATTTAATTATTGTTGTGAAAGTGTGCAGCCAAATAAATGAAATGAAAGGGAAATTCCTTGCAGAGGTTTTGCTGTTTTTCATTCAAAGCCCTTGTTAGAATATCTGTTGAGGGAGTTCTGCTCTTTTTCTCGGTCTATAAGCTGAGGGACATTCTCTAAGTAACATCAGAAATCTCTTCTTCCATGTGAAATAATAACACTGTAAGATTAAGACGTCCTTTTGAGGTCTCCCAGTAAATCTAAACAATTTGAAACACGGCTTTTACTTCAGCGTTCCAATTCAGTTTAAGTCTGGTACATTCACACGTGTGTACGCAGACCAAAAATGAGCAGCATTTGATGAGGCCTTCAAGAGGACTGCACAGCAGTGAGTTCACCTTCAGTTCTGCACAAAGCGCCTTTCCTTTTAGGATCTCTTAATGCCATCGTAGAATTGATTTCTTAGTTATGGATTCAGTAAAAACTTAACTTTGTGAAATAGGAAATTGCTAGAAAAAGGTAATGAACTTAAAACTGTCTGGTGGAAAATGTTTAGGTAAAAAAACATAAAGAATCACCTAAAAAGAGTAGATTTTATGTGCAACCTGACTTCATTTCTTTTTGTTAATATTATGATTCTCAGTAATTCATATATATATGAAACTATCATTGCTTTAATAAGCTTTATTTTCTAAAAGGAAATTAAATATTGTATGGCAAGTAAATTGTGGATTAAAGCCAACTCTGAGCTTAATTTCCCTCACTATTGGGATGAATGGCAAATAGAAGAGCAAGAAATTTGTGCAAATCTTAAATGCTGTGCTTTATTTTTTTCATTTGAAGATAAGAGTAACATCAGAGCAGTTAAAGCAGTGTATTTGTTTGTTACAGTGTATTTGCTTGTATACATATATGAATCTCTCTTTCCATGTGCTTACCCACAGGCAGCACCCCAGCCAATAGAGGAACTTTCTAGAGACAGAACCAGACAGGAAACGTTACACTTTTTCGTCACGCAGATTCAGTCCAAAGGTAGATATGGAGGTAACACTACTGCCTCGTTCTGCATTCTGAAATATTACTGACCAGATGCTTAGCTGATTACATTTATTTTATTGCCAGCTGAATTAGTATTTATCATAGTACCAATGAAATCAGTGAAACCCTGCCAGTTTATACCAGTTATAGACCTGCTCCTGGACCCTTAATGTTCATCATGGCTCATCTCACCTTCCTCTTTTGCACATCTTCTCACACACATGAACATGCACTCGTACAAATTAATACAAGCATAGCTGCCTGATTTATAATCACCATCTGGCACTAAAAATGTGCTTTAAAGTGGGTTGATAGTTGAGAAGAAGTCCAATATTCAGGAAAAAAAAAAAGAGCCTTCTACGCTTAAAAACTCCTGCTGATTACAGTTTGTAACATTAACACACAGTAACAAATTTTATGCTGAGAACTTTTAAATAATGAACAATCAGCCCTGTGTCTGATCCTCGGATCTATATGTTGATCTGTATGTCAAAAAATCAATGGCACGTTACAGCAGTTGTAACTCTAATCTCTGTGCTTTTCTCTGCCTGATCAGTAGGGAAACAGGCACACAACTGAGCCACAAGTGTGCTGTAAATTCAGGCCACAAACAGTTGGATTTTCTCTGTCACCTGAATTTTCCCATCTCAGTGTTAGCAACTCCAGGCATTCAACATTTATGAGATTCACTTTAGAATGGTGTGATTTAAATAATAAATGTGGAGTTCTTAAGTCTGTATGGTTTGACACTTAGTATTGAGATTTTCAGCCGTAGAGCTGTAAAAGTAACATTTTCTAAAGTGGTAGTTGACAATACTGGCAACTGGAGTTAATAATAATGCTATGGCTAAATTAACAAAAGGTTTGTGAAAGCTGAGCTCTGTGAGTCGAGTTATTCATCTCTCTGTACTTCTGCAAAAAGGAATGCGAATGATTGGGCATTCACATTTAGCCACCAAATACTGAGCAGTTGTTTCCAAAATGAGAAGTCACCATAGCATTGCAAGGCCAAACCTTAGCTGATGTTCTAAGGTCTAACACTATCTTTCAGTGAGTCTTAAAATGTTGCTTGTGGCCACATGGCTCTGGTATGAAAGACAGAAATCTTGAGGCTGCAGATCAGCCATTGGCCGTGCCTGGTACAAAATACTTGATATTAAATTTCCCTGGAAGAAAAAGAGAGGTGGGGCAGAACTAATCTTCGGGCAGGAAGCAGTTTGGGAGAGTGAATGTATAAGATGCCTATTTCATCCATTAATTTGTAGAAACATCTAAGATAGAAACATACAGTAATTAAAATTAAATGAAAGGTTCTAAAAGTAACACGCAGTTCATTTGTCTCCAAATATATTTTCAGAAGTCATGCAATATTTTAA